CCGATTCTGGCATTTGTTGACCACTTGTTGGATGCGTTTGTCATCCCTTCCAGTGATGACAACATTTGCGCCCAAAGACCACAACTTTATGGCTATAGCGGCGCCGATACCCGAAGACGAGCCTTCAATTCAATTAAAACAATATTTATTTAATTAATATTTAAAAATATGCATAAAATACCTGTAATTAGTGCAACTTTTTCATTGAAATCCATTTTAATACACAAAATCCCTATTTTGAGATGAAATAATGTAATTTACTTTAACGATTACAAAAGTAAATAATTATTAATTATTGATGGCTTTATTTACAACTATAGTTAAATTTTAGCACAACTGCTAAGACAACGAGAATACTTGAGATATTGTTATCATTAAATAAATTATGAAAAATCAATGTCCATATAATACATAGACTTTAAGCAAGCAACAAATGATTATTATAAATATTGAGTAAATAATTTTATTTATTAAATATATAACATAATCTAAAATAGTACTTAAATTAAACATGCACAATCAAAAATACAACAAATATCAAAATGTTTTTATTTAATTAATATATGATATGAGTTAGTACTAGCAATTTAAAAATAGCTCCAGTTAGATTAATGATTAAATTTGTTATTAAATCTGTTAAAATATTTATAATGTGCTGTAAATACCATCACGTTTAATAATTAAAACATTTAATAAAACTATCTGCTTGTAATTGTAAAACTACTGCCAAAATATTTTACAAACATTCAATTTCCTTTGAAAATACTACTAAACAATGTTTCAAACAGTTGTTTAATCGGACAATTCAAACAACGATCTTCATTATCAGGGTCTATAATTTTAACCTAAATAAAATAATACATGAATAAATAACATTGTAAAAATAAAACACTTTATCATCATCAATTATCAATTATCATCATTCATTACGGGTTTAACATTATCGGGGAATAATCCGACAACATTTCCCGGCGGCTCATAATTGCACACAACATACGACTCCCAATACGAGGTTCCCATTCCGGCGCATAGGGCACAGCCCAGTGTTAGGGTATTGGCCCAAACCAGCTGGGTGAAATGACCAGATTCCTCACTAAAAGTGGGCTTAGAGTAATTGTATTTGGATATCTCCTTGTACCTAAGTAGTTATTAAAGGTGGGGATGATAAAAATACGGCTAAAATGAACATGGCATAAAAATTGGCACAAACCACGAGTCGACGGCTAGGGTACAGGTGGCGGGTGTCGATCGTGAGCTCCCCATCCAAAATAGATTTTCGCCGTACAAATTGCTGAGTCCTGAGTGACCGGCGCTCAGACCTCCACTCTGGGAGCGGGACAGGCATCGGGACTGAGCGTATGATATGAGCTGCAGATATGATCAAGATTGCGGATATGACAGTGAATTTTTTTTATCATGATCTTAATAATTGTTGTTTTATTTTTAAACAATTATTGCTTTCAATGTTGGTTTACCGTAGGATTTATTGAAAAGTCCGGTGTGTCCACGTGTTGAGCCCTGTAGTAGTTGTGCCGATCCATACACTCCTGTTGAAATGTTTTAGATGTTTTGTCGGGTATAGCATCTCGCCCAATTATCACTTGTTATAATTTTACAAGCAATTAATTAGTTATAATTATAATTTTAAGTACAATTACAAATTTTTTAATTAACTTTGATATTAATTTAGTTATATTTAATATTACATATGCTAAATAGTGAATTATTCTAATCACCTGATGTATTATTTATTAAAAGTCTTACTTATTATTGTTTAGTATTTTAATAATTGTATTAATGTATTAACATTATTAAAACTTACCAACAATAAAATGCTGCATATAAAAAACTAAAAGTATTATTTTATACATTATTTTACACAATGTAAAACGCCAATTCTATACAATACAATAGCTATCAGTTTGTGTAAAAATTTAAATTTTTGAAAATATTTATATGCATTAAAAGCAATGATTAATTAAATTTATTAATAGAGATTCCTGTTATGAATAATGTAAATATTATTTTATTTATAAATGCAATAGAAATTATAGTGAAATATAAATTATGGTGAATTATAGTATAAGTAAAATTGATTTATTATTGTATTTGCAATATAATGTTACTAATTTTCACGGAATTTAAATTTATTTAATTAAATGATATAGAATTTTAGCTAAATTAAAAAATTATAGCAAAAATAACTATGACTCTTAATAGATATAAGGGCGTTTACCAGTAATTTAATCTAGTGTAATTTTAATTCTACTAAATATTAGAAATATGCATCATCACATATTTACTAACTTTCCTTGTTAATATATTGTATAAAATTTAAAGTAATAAATAAGAAAATTTTTGAAATATATTTTAATTATCTTATAATAAAATAAATTTTAAGAGAAAACATGCCCTGAGAAAAATTACCTTAGGTACATTTATTTTATTTACAATTTATATATTTATTATTAACTGAATTTATTAAATAAAATTTATTAGCATTAAAGTAAATCAAAATAAACAACCTACACGTATCTAATACACTTTATACGTACAAATAAAAATATGAACTAAATTACTAAGAAAATGATCAATATTATTGAAATTATATAATAAAGTAAATATTACTAATGCTTTAAATAAATCATAATTGTAGAAATAATAGTAATTATAATAATTTTATTTTGGGTAAAAATTGTTTTATATAAGTTTATGTTGTATTTTTTCAACGTTTGCATTGAAAATCAACAGTAGTTGAGTGAACTACAATGTATGTCTATAAATAACAATAAGTACAATACAATATTAAGTAAGATTATACTTACTGATCCGCTACCTCTCAAAAATACTTTCTTTCTTAATGTTGGCCACTGTATCAGTTTACACTGTTTTATTCACTGTTTTATACAGTGGCCAACATTAAGAAAGAAAGTATTTTTGAGAGGTAGCGGATGAGCAATTATACTAATAATTATGTGACAATTCTCAATATAAGGTTTTAAATTTATCTAAACTATTTGCCTGCCCTTTATTACTGTAGAAAGTAAAAAACCAAATGTTCCTTTTGTACTTACTTTGTGAGTATCTAATCATAATGCACTAACTTTATAAAGTAGATGTACTGTTATTATGTGCTGTTGTATTATGTTGTTAGTACAAAAGGAACATTGAGCACCCTGTATTATTGTTTAGACAATCATTATGTTTGTATTTAATTTAATTTCCATAATATTAACTTAAAAGTATAAAAACACCATGATATTAAAATGGGTTTTTATTTAGATTGAACATTTATGTTTTTTGTGCTTTTGTATTAATGATACATCATACTGTATTAAATAAACAAATAATTTATAAGTTAAAAAATTTAAACATATTTAAACAGTAATAAAATATTTGTGATAAAATGGATTTTACAAGAAAAGTCGCTTTAATTACTGGTAATTAAATAAATTATTGTTTAGAAAATAAATATTTAAAATATAATACTTGTATTTTAGGCTCGTCTTCGGGTATCGGCGCCGCTATAGCAATAAAGTTGTGGTCTTTGGGCGCAAATGTTGTCATCACTGGAAGGGATGACAATCGCATCCAACAAGTCGTCGACAAATGCCAGAATCGGGACAATCAGAGAGCACTCGGAGTGAGGACTGACTTATTGGGGGACAAAGACATCGAGGAATTGGTGGCGAAGACTATCAAAGAGTTCGGCAAAATTGATATTCTGGTCAATAACGCGGGTATCGGCCCAACGGCCAGATTTGGAGACTCGGCTTATTTGGAATCATACGATAGGGTTATGAATACAAATGTCAGATGTATTCAAGTGTTGACACAATTAGTGGTTCCATATCTGGAGAAAACGAGAGGCAATATCGTTAATATCTCGAGTATTGCATCACTTAATCCCGTGAGTACTCATTATATCATAATAATTAAATGTTAATATAATTATAATTTATAATTTAATTAAATATTATAAGACACCCGAAGCTACGAGCTATTGTATGGCCAAAAGTGCCCTGGATATGTTTACTAAATGCCTGGCACTACAGTTGGGGCCCAGAGGTATTCGTGTGAATAGTGTTAAGTGAGTACACATTGAATTAAAATTATTCAAATCCATAACTAATGCCATTACACTAATCAATAGCCCGGCTGTCATACGGACGCCATTCTTCGAGACACTGACCGGCACTAAGAATACGGAGTTATTCCTCGAGAACCGGTGCCGAGAGTGGTATCCATTGGGACGTATGGGTGAACCGGAAGACGTGGCCGAAGCCGTGGCGTTCCTGTGCTCTCCGATCACCGCCTCATTCATAACCGGCCTTATAATGCCTGTCGACGGCGGCTCCTTTCGAGCCCCGGCCCCCAAACACTCATAATTTATGTTTTTTTTAAATTTATTTGATGTAATATTTATAGAAAATATTATGTTGTTTGAAAGCAGTTGATGTACTTCTCATTTTATTTTAAATAATATGTTGTTTTATTTAATTTAATTTCATCATGCCTAATCCACGTTTATTGATGTAATATTAATATATGATGTGTAGAGCTCAAAATATTCGGGAATAAAAACACACAAAATCGATCGGAAACCGGGTGTAGAACAGGCAAATTTGAGAAATGTTTATTCAATTCAAACTCTTTATTCCAGATTATTTGAACTTTGCAACAACTTTTGACATTGATTTTTTGGTATTTTGCTAAAATATTTAATGAGAAATAATGTTTTTACAAAATACTTTTCTAGAAAAGGTGCGTTTTAGAGATTATTTGTCATAAAATGGATTTTTCGGTAATTTTTTTAAAGAATGTCAAAATCGGCGAAGAGATCAATCATTTTTAGAGCAACGGTTTATTTTTAAACTATATATTAAAGTATAAAGTCATTTATCTTTTTCTTTGAGTAACGCTAACAGACCTGTTTGTAAGCAAATAAATTAAACATTACACTGTGATATTTATGAAATCATTCAAAAAAGCCTCCAAAATGCTCCCAAACGGTTGCCCTAATTATTTTATATTGAATCTTGCATATCACTAAATTAGCGTGTGAATTTTAAAAGTATTTCCCAAACCAAGTGTGTAAATTACAAGAGCCGATCAGTTGTCTAATGACTGGTCAAAATTCATAATAATGGACTTGAAAATATTACCTTGATATATAAGAATTGACATTTAAAATTCAAATTGTCATGATTGCGAATAAGCCAAAATTATTTCTTAATTCAAACTATTCAATAAAACTACAATGACATTTGTAATAATTATTCATTAAGATTAGCCATTTGAATTATAAAAGTAATCCCTCTTTTATACTATTCATTTAATTACACAGAATAATAAGATATAAACATTACATGATTTTAATTAATTAAATTAAAGTTTAGTTTAATATTCAGTTAATATAAAAGTAGTTTTTATAAATAGCATGAATTTTAAAGGAAAGGTCGCTTTAATTACAGGTATTAGTAAAATGAGATAAATTTAAATATTAGTTTTGGTGTTTTTAATACTTTTACTGAAGGCTCGTCTTCGGGTATCGGCGCCGCTATAGCCATAAAGTTGTGGTCTTTGGGCGCAAATGTTGTCATCACTGGATCCCTACTGTTTGCGTAGGTTGTTCACCAGTTGTTTACGGTCTTAGCCCTGTTAGTCTCTCGTGAGCCTCACTCCTGACTGAATTTGGTGGACAAAGACATCGAGGAATTGGTGGCGAAGACTATCACAGAATTCGACAAAATTGATATTTTAGTCAATAACGCCGGTTGCGGCGCTTCGGTGCCATTCGGTGACCAAAAATACATTAAAAACTTTGATTTGGTGTTCAATACAAACGTCCAAAGTATTCAAGTGTTGACACAATTAGTGTTTCCATATCTGGAGTTAACAAAAGGCAATATCATTAACATCTCGAGTAAGAATGTGCTAGGAGAGCTCTGGGAGAGTTTTTACTATGTAAACTTGAATGAGTTTACATGGAGTCATAGTTGTTGAGCACATTCATAATGAGAGATTCTCGAGTGTCTCCGGACTCAGACCTGTAAATTAATAAAGAACTTTGTAAAATTTTTAAATCCAACCATGTATATTTATCGCTATATTGTATAGTCAACCATCCATGTGCTTTCGTACCACATGGCCAAAAGTGCCCTGGACATGTTTACCAAATGTCTGGCACTACAGTTGGGCCCCAAAGGAGTTCGTGTCAATAGTGTTAAGTGAGTGTTAATTATGTTAATTATTGTTAGTTATACTCAAAATTAAATTAATATTTTATTTTATAAATCAATGTAAAGTCCGGCCGCTATTCGGACCCCGTTTTTTGAGACAGTTAGCGGTGACGCGCATCGGTTGGCCGTCATTGAAGAGCACTGCCGACACACCTATCCGTTGGGTCGCATCGGAGAGCCCGAAGACGTGGCCTCAGCGGTGGCCTACTTGTGCTCACCCGCCGCCGCATTCATAACGGGTGCCATTTTGCCGGTCGACGGCGGAGCCTATCGGGCCCCCGGCGCATATTAGCTTAATTAAAATAATAAATGTTTGCTACATTTTAAAGTTTAATTATTAGTTATTTATATTTTTAAATAACTTGTTAAATTTGTAATTTTTAATTAAACAATTAGCCGGTGATTAAAATGATTAAATTGATATTTTAACATAATTTAAATATCTGCGGCTCATCTCATCAACAAACTTAAGTCCATTTTTTTAAACTTAAGTGTGATTTTGTGTTTGACAAAGAAGTGTAAATATTGTTAAATTGAATAGAATTACTACAAACTAAATATGTATCACACTGAACTACTATTAATATTAACAATAAACTAGTACACTTAAAATGCACTAAATTTACACTAAAAAGTTGTTAAACATTTATTACAAACTAATGTTATATTTCATATTTAAATTTATAAACTTTTGTGAAATTTATAATATAAAATCAATAGCTTATACAAAAGATACAAGTATGTTAATTAGTGCAAAAGTTACATTATAGTTATATCAGTATTAAAACATAATTTAATCTCCGTACTTATACTGCACATTATTACATCATGATAACATTAAAATGGGTTTGCAGAGTGCATTACGCACATTTGGTCTATTTTTTAACATTGCCGCTTTTATATAAATAGACAAACAAATTCTATATCAAATCAACATGCTACATAAATTGCATTAAAGTTATTAAAAATAATTATTGCAAATAAATTAATAAAAAAGAATATTTTATATTTGTAAAAATGGATTTTACCGGAAAAGTTGCTTTAATTACTGGTAATTAAATTTATTATTATTTATTCGTATAAAATACATAAATGTTTTACAAAATATTACTTGTATTTTAGGCTCGTCTTCGGGTATCGGCGAAGGGATTGCCATAAAGTTGTGGTCTTTGGGCGCAAATGTTGTCATCACTGGAAGGGATAACAAACGGATTCAAGAGGTGGTCAACAAATGCCAGAATCGGGACAATCAGAGAGCACTCGGAGTGAGGACTGACTTATTGGTGGACAAAGACATCGAGGAATTGGTGGCAAAGACTGTCGGAGAGTTCGGCAAAATTGATATTCTGGTCAATAACGCGGGTATCGGCCCGACGACCACTTTTGGAACCCCGGGTTATTTGGAGTCATACGATGTGGTTATGAATACAAACGTCCGAAGTATTCAAGTGTTGACACAATTAGTGATTCCATATCTGGAGAAAACGAATGGCAATATCGTTAACATCTCGAGTGTGGCCGGACTTAAACCGGTAAATATTTGTTTACTTAATCACTTAAATTTTATAATGTAACAATAATTTACAATCTATTTATTATTACGATTAGCTACCAATAGCGATGGACTATTGTATGGCCAAAAGTGCCCTGGATATGTTTACTAAATGCCTGGCACTGTATTTAGGCCCGAAAGGAATTCGCGTTAATAGTGTTAAGTATGTGATAATTGTTAACATTAAACAAATAATTAATAATTAAATATCAATTGAATTAAAGTCCGGCCGCTATTCGGACCCCGATTTTTGAAAGGAACTCAAGAAATGTGGATCTATTAGCCATAACTGAAGCCAATTGTCAACAAAAGTATCCGTTAAAACGTATCGGAGAGCCCGAAGACGTGGCCTCAGCGGTGGCCTACTTGTGCTCACCCGCGGCCTCATTCATAACGGGTGCCATTTTGCCCGTCGATGGCGGCAGCCTTCGGGCCGACGACATATCAGTTGCAGCGAAGAAATACAATTAAACTAATTAATTAATCAAATAATTAATTTTGATTAACTTTAATTTATAAAAATTTAATGATATGTTATTAATTATCCGGTACTTTATTCCAATAGACAATGTATTGTAATCAGTTATAGTTTACCCAATTTGCTATCTGATATAATATTACTTTACATTTATAAGTATTAGTAAGACTACTAATTTCTAATCAATATCAATAAAATGTTTATAAAAATTACAGCGTTTAATATAACTTTATTTTATCCAGATTAAATTATTAAATACTTACTGTATATTATAAACTATAAAAATATATCAGCGGTTGTTATCTTTGTAGACAATACGTTATCTTTGAAGAATTGGTCCGTTTTCTTGCCGTTTTTAACCCCTATATTACCCATTGGGCTATAATTGCACACAACGTTAGTGGCGGTAGACTTGGGCGCTAAGCATCGGGCGCAGCCAACTCTAGTGCTATTTTTCCAGACAATAGCCGAGAAGTGGCCGCTCTTGGCATTAAAGCCCGGTTTAGTAAAATTGTAATGCTTTTTCTCATTATACCTATCAAAATAAATGTCATGAATATTCTTGTTAATTGTTTTATTGTTATATATTATTTAAATGTTAACATTTTTTGCACTTACCATAAATCCACAATTGTTTCGCAAATGAGCTTGGTATTTGAGCCCGTTCTGCTGGCAAAGTTCTCGGTGTAATTGGCACTGGGTTTTACTAGTAAGGGTTTATCGCCATATTCAATGCACCGGGTCTTTGATAGCTCTGTCAACTAGATGTTTGTTTGTTACGTTATGTTAATATTAATTACGTTATTGTATGTGGGTTATAATCATACCGTGCGATCCAGAGTTAGGTTTCCCGCCCGATGTTTACTTCTGTATTGGTTGTGTGTTTTCAGACAATTATCCTGAAACTCATGGTCGGTGATGTCGGTATATTTTTCACATGCAATAATCGCTGTTTTAATTACTGTAGTTAATAATTAAAACTAATTGTAAACATTATTAGAAACATTATATTTACCTAAGCTTGTTATTATAATTATCGTAGCTTTAATGCACATTGTTATAATAGATTTTAATTGTTTATTTATTTTTAACATTATAATATAATTATTTACATTTTAAAAACATATTTGTTTAATCCAATAACAGTTAACATAAATTACATATTTTAATTAATTAACATAATTTATTAATAAAAATAATGAAAATATAAAAATAAATAGTTTATCATCAAAATATACAGGGTGTTTTTTATTGGACTACAACATTTTAAAGTCGAATATCTCGAAATGTATTTGGTCTAGAAATTCAGATGATATATCAAAATACTCATCAACTGCGGGAGTTTTTGTTATGATATGGTCAATATGTTTGACCTCTTATTATAGAAATAATCTCAAAACTACCAAATTTTTGCCATTTTGTCCATAGTCCCGCAAATGATCCATTTAATAATATAATTTTTAAAAACCTTACAAAAAATTAAATTAAAATTTTTAAACTCCATTATTTAGTTTATAAAAAATTATTCAGAATTAATAATGGGAATGAAACTAATCCTATTTATCGCATACGGGAACTTTTTCATACGCATTAAAAGCGCATTCATTTTTGGGACAACTCCATGCTTCGCATTGCTTTTTAACATCCTCATACCCGATTGTGTTATCTTTATGTTTGTATATGACCATTGGTTCATCGCTTGACTTTTGCTCCTGGTGCGACTCGTCTCCTGAATGATCTTCTGATTTTTTGCGCTTCGTTTAAATGATCCGTGTCACTTTCCGACTCACCATGGTCCTTTTTGTCCCGGTTAGCTGTTTCTAGTTCTTTGGTCGAGCCACTCTTGTCCCGGTCGAGATTATGGGTTACTGTTTTATCACCTGGACCACCGAACGTGATCATGTTTGGGCCTATACGCCGCGCGTGTGTCTCATACACGGTTACCACGATTAATAATGCGATAAATAGGATTAGTTTCATTCCCATTATTAATTCTGAATAATTTTTTATAAACTAAATAATGGAGTTTAAAAATTTTAATTTAATTTTTTGTAAGGTTTTTAAAAATTATATTATCTTATATATTCCCTTATATTTACATATTGGAAAAATAAGGAAAATAAATAATTTGAAATATATTTTTTTTTATGGAATATGTTTTGTTATTATTTATCATTAGATTTAATATTAATAATAAACTTATTTGTCATGTATTCTACAACTATACAAACATTAGTTAATAATTATAACAATAAATATCATATCAGCTATTATTTAAGTAAATTAGTAAATAATATATTAAGTATCTAAAATCTATTTGATATAGTATAATTTAATTTAAATGCGTGCAACTCACTGTTTGTGTATACTCGATTAATTTTAAATAATTACATAAAAATAATTATTTTAATTAAAACTGAATTGTTTTTAAGTTAGTTTTATATAAATGTATAATTAAATCTGGCAAAATTATTGTTGGTTACCCTATGGCTTTAGCGCTCGACACTCATACACCATGATAAAATTTAAGCGCTCATTTTAGAAATTTGATTCAAAACCGTTAAAAATTACTTTAAATTAAATTAATTTATTAAATGTATAAAGCTCTATTACAAAGTTGGGGATAAGTAGCAATAGTTTAAATTGAGCGCCATTTGAATACCAATAGAGATACTGAAGTCAATTAAAGTTTATTCTGACCACAAAAGTGCATAGTTTTTTTAGCACATTTTTATACCGAAATGTTATTTTCTTTATCGAATCTTTGTAACAAATAACTTTGGCGCATCTTATTATCTCGAATTCTAAAAGTGTCATGGTCATTGTGCCAGACCCATTTCGGGGCTCGACCTCTTCGGGAGAGGATTACTCCGGAAGCAGAAGAGGTGCAGACAAATGAATGGCATTAATTTGTAGGTCAATAAACACTGTTTTAAAACAAACCAACAATTATAAAATTTCGGCTAAATTTGATCAAAAAATTACGTCCCAAACAATTTACGGATTTATCAATCGATTCCTTACATTAATAACATTAAAATGAGTTATTTGAAATAGAAATTTGAAATAGAAGAATTTAGATTCCAGATTCTTAAACAGGAGCAAAAATAACATAATATTTATTTTAGAATTTTGCTCAAAAATAAGTTTGAATTTAACATTATGTCTATGGAAAAAATGGTAAAATGTTGATTGATTTGAGATTATTTCTAGAATAGGAAGTCAAGCATATTGACCAAATTATAACAAAAACTCCCGCAGTTGGTGACTATTTTGGTATATCATTTAAATTTCTAGACCGAATACATTTCGAGCTATTCGACTTTGTAATGGTATAGTCCATTAATCTCCACCCTGTATTATGACCATTCTAGAAGTAATCTCAAAACTACCAAATTTTTGCCATTTTGTCCATAGACATAATGTTAAATTCAAACTTATTTTTGAGAAAATTCCTGAAATAGGTATCAAATTATTTTTGCTTTTGTTTAAGAATATGTAATCAAAATTATTGTAACTTATTTTTGAGAAAAATCCTGAAATAGGTATCAAATTATTTTTGCTTTTGTTTAAGAATATGTAATCAAAATTATTGTGCTGCATGTAGTTTTTAGTTAATTAATGATTTTTAAATATTTCAGATAAATAAAGTTGTTTCAAAGCTTTTGCGTGTCGGAATTTGATCACCATTTGGGAACAGCTGAAGTGACAATATTGTCACTTCACACATATATAGTTCCATTGCCGGAAATATTTTGCACATACAAATATATTTGATCACGTGACTATATTATTGTGAAAATGGATCATTTGCGGGACTATGGACAAAATGGCAAAAATTTGGTAGTTTTGAGATTATTTCTATAATAAGAGGTCAAACATATTGACCATATCATAACAAAAACTCCCGCAGTTGATGAGTATTTAAAATGGATCATTTGCGGGACTATGGACAAAATGGCAAAAATTTGGTAGTTTTGAGATTATTTCTATAATAAGAGGTCAAACATATTGACCATATCATAACAAAAACTCCCGCAGTTGATGAGTATTTCGATATATCATTTGAATTTCTAGACCGAATACATTTCGAGATATTCGACTTTAAAATGTTGTAGTCCAATAAAAAACACCCTGTATGTTGTACATTAATAAATTACCCTTAACAATTATTATAATAAAATAAAATGTCTAGATTATAATTTAATAATCATAAAATATAATGTATAAATATTTTTGTAACTACTATAATGTGTAGACCATAAATAAATAGATATAACACAAGACAATCTTAAAAGCAATTTGTATAAAATTTTACAGTTATACAATTTTCAATAACTTAAATTAATAATAATATTGATGTTACTATTATTATGTTTTGGGCCAGGGCCAAAAAATGCCCCAGGGTTTATTTAGATGTACTCGTTATTCTATTGGCCATAAATTTATTATAAAATTATTATTTTATAGATAATCACATTTTATATTTAATATAACAGTTTTCAATCCGATAATAAGAATTCCCATAGAAGTGGGCCCTAATTGTGACACAATTATTGACACAATTGAATGGAATTTATTCAATATAACAATACTGTATGTAAATTATATATATTATTATTAAATTAATCATATTAATTTATTAAACTATTTTTTAAAACAGATGCATTACAACATTCTCTATCACCATGGTTGTATTTTCAACAATATACTTTTTAATTAAAGCAAAATTAAATCAAGGATCAATTGTTATAGATAGATTTTCAACAAATACCGTGTTTAACATAGTTGTTAAATCATTTTCATTGTCTGAAAGCAATAAAAAATTGTTCAGTCCTTTAGGCGACCGATTGCTTATCGGGGAAGCGATGCTATTGTTTGCCATTACATGGCTTTTAGGGGCAACTCATTATACAGCGATGGCGGCCACAGGTCTGGTCGGCTATAAGAAAATATTTAATAGTTTTTTGTTAAATATAATGCTGGATAAAAA